TAATGTGTTGGAATATCCTTCCCAGGAAATGAAGTTTCATGGTCTGCTTTCTTTCAGGTATGCTCCCGAATGTTTAATTCAGTGTAAATTTTATATCGCCTCTGACGTCTGGTCGTTTGGAGTGACTCTGCATGAGCTGCTTACTTACTGTGACTCAGATTACAGCCCCATGGCGGTAAGGCTTCCTTGTCCCTTCATCCAAATCCAGCACCCATTGAAAATGTGTAGATTTTGTTCTTAAAGGGAATCCAGTTTGTGTTACAGTGGGAAGCGTCACTTTTCCATTTAACATGGTTTGTCACTTGACACTTATGTGTGGCTCTCTCAAGTCCTCATTTCACAAGGAGCCCAAGTTCTAGAAAATGATGCTGACTTTCAAGGATCTTACCTGTGTGAGGATTCCAGGGACAGTTTCCTGGGAGAATGAGGGGGCAGTGGGGAGGGCCTTGCTTGAGCTTCAGGAATTCATAAATGAGATCATTTTCACTGAGACAGGCTCTTCAGCCAGGGGAAGGGATGGTTGGTAAAGTCTGAGAGAGTGATTACAGACTAATCATTGAGAGCTAATCAAGATTTTGGGCTTTCATTTAAAATTACTGAGGGGCGCTTGGGTGGCTTAGTCGGTTAAGTGTCTGCCTTCGGCTCAGGTCATGATCCCAGGCTCCTGGGATCCAGCCCTGCGTTGGGCTCCCTGCTCAGTGGGGAGTCCGCTTCTCCCTCTGCTGCTCCCTGCTCTCTGTCAAATAAATAAAATCTTTAAGAAAAATAAAGTTACTGAGGAAAAAGCCTTTTTATTATCTTAATTTAGTTAATCCTAGAAATTTTAACTTAATCTGCTGTTGATATAAATATGTGCTAAAATATTTGGTTTGATTTTACATAGTTGTTCCTGAAAATGATAGGCCCAACTCATGGCCAGATGACAGTCACAAGACTTGTGAATACATTAAAAGAAGGAAAACGTTTGCCTTGTCCACGTCACTGTCCAGATGAGGTATTTGTGGGCTATTTTACAGTAATAAACTCAGTTTGTGTTATGTTTTCAGGGCTTGAGTTACCTGGCAAGGGTTTGGGTGGGAAGAAGTAGAAAAGTCATTTTTAAGATAATTTCCTGAAGCTGAATTTCAGATCAGACATCTGTAAAACCTTCTTTGGGGCAGATGACAGCCACAAGTTAGATTTAAAGTAAGGATTCCCTCCAAAAGTAGGCCCACCTCAGCGAGCACCCCAAAGCCGCACATTCTAGTGTCACCCGATTGTGACAAGTACTTATAGCGTTGGCCCTTGACCCACACGGGATTTGGGGTGCTGACCTCCTACACTGTTGGAAAGCTGAATGTGGCTTTTGATTACCCAAAACTTAAGTCTACTGTTGACCAGGAGCCTGATAATAATTACAAGAGAAAAAAATGGTTAAGAGAAAATACATTTATAGCACTAGATCATATTTAATGAAAAAACTGTGTATATAACTGGACCTGCACAGTTCAAATCCGTGTTTGCAGCTCAGCTGTAATTGCATGTTAGTCAAACTGTATATAACTGGACCTACACAGTTCAAATCCGTGTTGTTTGCAGGTTGTTGGTAGCATTTGACATTTATTCAGTTTTCTGTATTCTAAAGTGATTTGAGCCTTTAGGGCCCACTCTTAAGACTATTTGAGATGTACTGGAGAGTTTGTATGAATCAAAGAACCACCAGGGAGGAAATTTAGAGTCGAGTCTGCACTGAGATGTAATGACCTGGATTTTTTGGAAGGTCGATTCATGAGCTTCTCAAGATAGATTGTTCATCAATAATACTTGATTCCCCCCCCTTCTTACAGGTTTATCAACTTATGAGAAAATGCTGGGAATTCCAACCATCCAATCGGACAACTTTTCAGAACCTTATTGAAGGATTTGAAGCACTTTTAAAATAAGCATTGATAACATTTAAACTCCTGTGTATCAAGTCCTCCTTCCCCAACTAGTACCCAAGCCATTTAAAATTTTTAATGGAAAAAATTTGTATTTGGGTATGTAAGGCACACTGTGGTGCTTATTATGTGTAAGTACTTCCCTCTTGAAATTTGACACCTGTAACAGATAATGACCCCCGAAACAATAGAAAGCACTTAAGCACTCCTCCTTTTGAAAAGAATGGAAAGCACCATTATGTTTGGCTAGCGTGCTGTCCCAGTTGCATACCAGAAAGGGAGAGGAGCCGACAGAAGCCCGTGTTCCCATCCGCCTGTTGATCTGAAATGCTTTCCCGGCAGAGATTGATGGACTTAGGCAATACTCTAACATGCCCTCAGATTTCAATCTCTCTACAGTGATAGACCAAGCATTCTTGAAATATTAGATACCCGTTAGTAGACTATTGTTTCTGTACCAAGATGAGTGTATTCCTGTCACCAGTAGGACTTAAACTTTGAGTTGTCTCTTCAGTGGCTTTGCTCCTGTCCCCATGGGTGACCAGCTAATACTGAGTTTTGAGAAAACTGGTCAGAGCCAGGGGGACAGCTGTGGAATAGATACTCTATTGCCTGTTAATTCTTGAGAACCAAGCCTGTGCTTTCCTAAAAAGTATACCATACCTTTAATCAGAACGGACTCTAAGACCCCGGGTACTGTCCTACATGCTTTTCAGAAATGTTAATGTATATCCTTTTCTAACTCTACCACTCTGGGGCAAGCTGTTGCAGCATTGGTTTTGGACGCTGTGTGCAACCAGTGTTTTCGTACTTAACCATCCATCTACAAGAGTTCAGGAGCTACTAGACAGTTTTCAGTTTGCTTGGAGGTAGCTGGGTAATCAAAAATGTCTAATCTCTGATTCAATGTGAACCGTAAGAACCTGATGACCAAGAGTCTGAAAAACTTTTTGTTAATGCTGTCTAGCATTTGTTTGATACCCTTTTTTCACCTTTTGAGCCTAAAGAGTTCTGGATTGATTCAATGGCAACAATAAACTTGCCATTTAAATTTATTCAGTATCCCTACATCACCAAGGTCTCTGTCTGTGTCAAACCTGTGGCCACTCTATATGCACTTTGTTTACTCTTTATACAAATAAATATACTAGAGACTTCACATGCATATGCCTTTTAATATTAAGATTTCATTTTCAAAGCATTCAAACAATTTGTCTACATAGAAAAATAACAGACTTTGTGGGGGGCGCGGAGTTTGGTAATGGTCCTTATTACAACAAACACCACTTGATTGGTACTTATCTGTTCTAGCCAATGATACACAGAGGGCAGATCCATATAGCTTAGTTCTTTTCAACCTCTTCCTGCTTTCATTTTGCCGCTCTGACTTAAAATTCACCATCTTCTGTTTGTATTAGAGAGGTGTGACTAAGCATTGAAGATGCTTAATGCAATAGGAAATGGGAAGGAGAAGCACAGAACATGGAGAAACCATTATTCATCTGCTGAGTGAGTCATAACCGATGCCAATCCTTAATTAACTTTCTAGCTGTCATTTTTGAATAGAATGAAATAAATTAGACCAATTTCTTTACAAATCATATGTACCACTTTTAAACTTGATAATTAGAATAGGGTACCTTATTACAAGACCTTTAATGATCTGATTTCAAAAAGACAAGGAACAAACTTGGAAATTTCTAGATGGCAAAGGGTTTCTCGTCTAATACCAAAGTCTTCAGGAAATGGTGATGTCAAAAGTTATATGCAATAATCACAATTCTTGCCGAAGTAAATTGAGTTAAATAGCTGATAATTTTTCAGCCTAACACTACAAAAGAATAAGAGACAAAGCAGAAAGTGAGGTGTAACTTACTAGCTCAAAATTGTTACACTGTTACTCCACAGTGCTCCTTCAGTATTGAGGGTTGAACTATACTGTAGAAATAGGGCATTTGAGGATCAAAACAGGCCTTGTTCTAGCAATTAGATCATCACTAGTTTATGCCATGAAATCAGACACAGAAACCTACATCGCTTGCCACTTACAAGTCTGTTGCACAAGTGAGAGGATTAGGGAATTAGTGCCATTAGACCAGAAGTCAGCACACTCTCCCCCATAAAGGCCCAGATGACAAATATTTTAGGCTTTGCAGACCATATGGTCTCTGTCAGCTACTCAGCACTGCCACTAGGGCACACAAGTAGCCCTAGACAATATGTAAATCAATGAGCGTGTTTATGTTCCAATAAAATTTTATATATGGGCACTGAAATTTGAATTTCATAGAACTTAATTCAAATCTGTTCTACTTCATTTAAAAAGGTAAACCTCATTCTTAGCTTGTGGACAGTATAAAAACAGGTGGAGGACTAAACTTGACCCCAGGGTATAGTCTGCCAACCCCTGAAATTATTTCACCAAAGCTATTTTTTTTTTCAAAAATAGCTTGTTTTTCACAAAAGGTATAAATGGTAAATAACATTAAAAGTAAAGCATCTATAGTTGTGTAGAACTTGGACCTTACTATCACTCTGGGTTTTATATTGTGGGGCTGATGTGGGGGTAATTATTTAGTTTGCATGTAGAGCATCTTTATAACATTACCACCACTGCATTTTGTAGTTGCACTCTTGTAGTTCTAGGAAAAGTTCTAAAAATCTATAAATGAGATTACTTCTAGGGAAAGTAGATTGAAATGCACATTGGCATATAAGAAACTCATTCTTCTAAGGCTCAGGAAACAAGACTGTTTCCCACTTATTGCTTCATACTTTTATATATGGTGTCAAAATTATTCCCAGTCCTAAACAAGGAATATTGGAACATTGTTAATTTCTCCAATGGACTATAATTTAATACCAATTAAGATGCATCTACTTGTAATGGAAAATGTCCTGTATTATCTTATTGCTACTTATTTTTTATTTGGCAATTCTGCTTGCTGCACAATACAGTTCCTTCTGGGAAATTAGAAACCCGTATTTAAAGGATATGGCTAGTCTGAATGTAGTTAAGGCAGCAATGAACAGCAGAGATACTGCAAAAAACCTTATGAGGTTATAAGGAGAGAACTTAACTCAATATACGCGCTTCTTTTTTAAGTAGGTTTCCATGTAATAAGCTCCTGTGCCCTGAGAATGCTGGTCAACAAATTCCACAGAACCACCTTCTGGGGCAGAGATGAGATATGATGAGCCTCGCTTTTCATTTCTTAAAGAGGATACCTATGAGAAAAAGCACAATGCTAATATCTAAATTAAAAATTGGTTTATTCATTAAAGATGTTTATAAGAAAAGCAATTCTTCTGATTTGCTCTAAAAACAAAATAGGATAAATAGCAAATCTATCAAATTAAAACAGATTAAGATTTCTATAACAAAGTCACTTGTGGAACTTTTAAAAAATACAAACCAGCCTCTGAGTGCCCTCTCTTCTCCACCCCCAGTATTTGGGGGAAAGAAAAAAAAAAAAAGCAATTGCATTGCTTCTGCTGTCCCCACCTAGTTAAACCCCACTGCGTCAGAATACCTATATGAGATGTCAGTATTCCTCTGAGAAAGGTGAGTGGCTAAGAAGTTGAACTGCATATCAAATTAGATGGTGGGTCTGTCTAGTAACAAAAGAAGTGGCAACGTACTAGTAGGTCTAAAAACACAAATGGTTCCAGACCCAAGTGGAACACACTTGATAATTAGAATAGGGTACCTTATTACAAGGTGTGCATGGGGAATTCAAGACCATTTCCAGAGCTAGAGGAAGATGGCAGAATAGGAAGATCCTGAGCTTACCTCATCCCATAGGGGCAACAAGGACATCTATGCAACTAATTCTGAAGATGACCTGAAGACTGACAGATCTTCCGCAGCCAATAGAAGGCTACACGGAAAAGGGTAGGAGGAGCAGAAATGCAATATGGAACCAAACCCCAGCACAACTCCCCGTAAACAGGAGGGACATCATAAGCACAGAGGAGCAAGGGGATCAGAGCCCACACCAGACACCCTGCACTGGGAAGGTGAGTATCCATATCTCTGGCTTTCAAAATAAGCAAGGCTTACCTCCAGGAGAGCTAGAGGGTGTAAGAAATTGAGTCTCCACCCTTAAAGAGCCAACAAGCCAAATAACAGCCCAAGACACAGCATGAAAGAGTTTGAAAAGTACCTGGGCTATACATGGAAATTTATTGACTAATTTTAGGACATGTGCCAGTGGGGCAGGCAGTTTTCTGCAGGAGTTTTCTCTGGAAATAAAAGTGCTGGCAGGTGCCATTTTTCTTGCCTTTCCCCAGCCTAGATAGCCAGAGGCTTCCAGGAGTCAGTTCTAGCACACTTCATCTGCCTTGCTAGCACTATGTGCCCCATCATGTCATTCCTTTGTGGACCTGCCCGGGGCAGGGGAGGGATGCAAACCCTCTCCACCAGCACACATGCAGCAGTCAAAGTGGCTCATTACTATACAGATAGCTGGGCTGAGTGCCAATCCTGCCCACCAGTGAGCCTATGGTGGCTGCAGTCAGGCCTCTAAGCCAGCAGCACAGAAAGCAAACCCTACCCACCAGTGCACCCACAGTAGCTGCAACCAGGCCTCACAGGGAGCAAGCCCTGCATCCCGGCCACTTGCAACAGTCATAGCTCAGCCACAACGGGAGGGCACATGTAGCCCACACAGGGAACACCCTTGGAGTACTTGGTTCTAGTGACTAGGAACAGCTTACAACAGGGCCCCTTCTACACAAAGCCACTTTCCTGTAGTGATCTCCTGATCTACTTTCAAGATCAGGAGATATAGCTGACCTGCTTAATACGTAGACAAGGAGTTAGACAAAATGACACAAAGGAATATGTCCCAAATGAAAGATGACAAAAATCACAGAAAAAGAGCTAAATAAAACAGATAAGCAATATGCCTGATAAAAAGTTCAAAGTCATGGTCATAAAGATACTCACCAGACTTGAGAGAAGAGTGGATGAACTCAGAACTTCAACAGAGAGATAGAAAATATAAAAACCAATCAGAGGTGAAGAGTATGATAGCTGATGTGAGCAATACACTAGTGGGAATCAACAGATGAGAGGATGCTGAAGAATGGGTCAGGGATCTGGAAGACAGGGTAACGGGAAGCAACCAGGCTGAACAGCAAAAAGAATAAATAATGACAGGTTAAGAGACCTCTGCAACATCATCAGCATAATATTCACGTTATGAGAACCCAGAAGGAGAAGAGAGACACAAGGCAGCAGAACTTACTTGAAGAAATAACATCTGAAAACTTTCCTAATCTGGGGAAAACAGACATTCAGGTCCAGGAAACACAGAGAGCCCCAAACAAGATGAGCCCAAGGATGTCCACACCGAGAGTCATAATAATTAAAATGGCAAAAATTAAAGATGAAGAGGCAATCTTAAAAACGAGATAAGTAAACAGTTACATACAAGGGAAACCCCATAAGGGTATCATCTGATTTTTCAGTCCAGAGGAGTGGCATGCCGTATGCAAGGTGCTGAAAGGATAAAACTGACAACCAAGAACACTATATTCAGCCTTTCAAGAAATGTTAAAGAGAGTTCTTTAAGTGGAAAAAAGACCATAACTAGAAGAAAATTATAAAAGGAAGAACTTTTGCTGGTAAAAGTAAACATAGTAAAGGTAGTAGATCAATCACAAAGCTAGTAAAGAGATTAAAACACAAAAGTAGTAAAATTAATTATATATTCAAAAGTAAGTCAAGGGGTACACAAGATATAGAATAAGACATCATATACATAAAATGTGGAAGGAGTAAAAATTTCATGCTTTTAAAATGTGTTTGAGCTTAAGTGACCATCAAACTCAATGTAGACTGCTGTATACACATAGGACGTTATATACGAACCCAGTGGTAACCAAAACCCTCTAATAGATAAAGAGAAAGGAATCTAAGCATAACACTCAAGAAAGCCATCACCACATGGAGGAGAGCAAAAGAAAGGAACAAAACAAAAAAGTTAACAAAATGACAATGAACACATCAATACTTACTTTAAATGTAAATGGACTAAATGGTCCAATCAAAAGAATGGATAAAAAGAGTTAAGACCCAAAGACCCATCTATATGCTACCTGCAAAAGACTCACTTTAGACCTAAAGACATATACAGACTAAAATGAAGATACAGAAAAAAGTTATTCCATGTATATGGAAGCTTAAAAAACCCCAAAAATCAAAAAACAAACCCCACAGCTGGGGTACCAATACTCAGATAAAATAGACTTTAAAACAAAGACTGTCACAAAAGAAAAAAAGGTCATTACGTATTAATAAAGGGATCAATCCAAGAAGATATAACAATTGTAAATATTTGCGCACCCAATTTAGGAACACCTAACTATATAAAAAAAAAAATATTAACAGACATAAGGGAGAAACTGGCAGTAATACAATAAAAGTAGGGGATGTTAACACACTACTTACATCAATGTATAGGTCATCCAGACAGAAAAATGAATTAAGGAAACAATGGCTTTGAATAAAACTTTAGACCAGAGGGACCTAACAATATATACAGAACATTCCACTCCAAAAGAACAGAATACATATTCAAGGGCATGTGGGACATTCTCTCGGATAGGCCACAAAACAAATCTCAATATGTTTAAGAAAACATATCAAGTATCTTTTCTGATCAGAGCAGTTAGAAATCAATTAGAAGGAAAAAAACTGGAAGAAACACAAACACATGTAGGCTAAATAACATGTTACTAAACAACCAATCAGCCAATGAAGAAATCAAAGAGCATATCAGAAAAATATCTGGACACAAATGAAAATGGAGATGCTACAGTTCAAAATCTTTAGGATGCAGCTAAAGCAGTTCCAAGAGGGAAGTTCACAGCAATACAGGCCTACCTCAAGAAACAAGAAAAACTTCAACAATCTAACCTTATGCTTAAAGGAACTAGAATAAGAACAAAAGCCAAAGTTAGAAGAAGGAAATACTAAAAATCAGAATGGAAATAAATGAAATAAATCCTTAAAAAACAATAGGAATAATCAATGAGACTAAGAACTTGTTCTCTGAAAATTGGTACACCATTATCCAACTAATTAATTAAAAAAAAAAGAAAACCCAATATTGGAAATGAAAGTTACAATGGATACCTCAGAAATACAAAAAATTATAATTACTACAGAAAATTATATGCCAACAAATTGGACAAACTAGAAGAAATAAATTCCTAGAAACATTCAATCTTCCAAGACTGAATCAGAAAGAAACAGAAAACCTGAATAGACCAATTACTATTAAGAAAATTGAATCAGTAGGCAAAAAAATTCCCAACAAGCCTAAGACCAGATGGCTTTACAGGTGAATTTTACCAAATATTTAAAGAAGTGTTAACTCCTCAAACTATTCAAAAAAATAGAAGAGGAAGGAACACTTCCAAATTCATTCTATGTGGCCAGCATTACCCTGATACCAAAACCAGACAAAGATACAACCAAAAAACAAAATTACAAGCCAATATCCTTCATGAACATAGTTGCAAAAATCTTCAAAAAATATTAGCAAACTGAATTCAAAAATACTTAAAAAGACTATACACCACTGTCAAGTGGGATTTATTCCAGGGATGCAAGGATGGCACAATGTACACCAATCAATGTGATACACCACGTTTACAAAGGGAAGGATCAAAGTCATATGATTATCTCAATAGATGCAGAAAAAGCATTTGACAAAATTCAACATGAATTCATGATAAAAACTCAACAGAGTGGGTATGAAGGGATCCTAACATAATAAAGGCCATCTATGACAACCCATAGCTAACATACTCAGTGATGAACAACAGAGCTTTTCCTCTAAGATCAGGAACAAGACAAGGATGTCCACTCTTGCCACTTTTATTCAATGTACTATTGGAAGTCCTAGCAACTGCAGTCAGACAAGAAGAAGAAAAGGCATCCAAATTGATAAAAAGGTAAACTGTCAATATTTGCAGAGAACAGGATACTATATGTAGAAAACCCTAAAGACTCCACCAAAACCTGTTAGAATTTATAAATGAATTCATGGGTACCTGGGTGGCTCAGTCAGTTAAGCATCTGACTCTTGATTTTGACTCAGATCATGATCTCAGGGTCATGAGATCGAGCCTCACATGAGGCCTGCGATGGGTGTGAAGCCTACTTAAGATTCTCTCTTGCCCTCTCCTTCTGCCCTTCTCCTCTGCACACTCTC